TTATGGTGCATTTCAAATATTAATAGATATATTAGATGTCACTGATGGAAATGTTACCTTTGAAAGAGAAATGATTAATACTATGATACCATCTGTAATAGATATTCTCATACAACCATTAAATGATACTAGTCCAATTCGATTAACAAATTATAATTCATATATTTCTCATGTTAGTTCTTTAGTATATCACTTATCTTGTTCAACAGCAATATCAGTAAAACCATATATTATTCAATGTGGAATACTTAATAAAATAATTCAAAAATTACCTACTCTAACACACTCCTCACAAGCTTCAGTATTACAATCATTAAGAAATCTTATTCGATTGAATAACCAAGATTATACTACTCAACTTCTTGATGCTTCATTGATTGAAACAGTTAAAGAAATGATACCAACAATAAGTGGAATGGCTCTTCCTATTGCACGTGAAATTATTGATTCATTCAAAAATAGAATGAGCCTTCTGCCTCTCTCTTCTCATTCTTCAGTTCCAACCCCAGAAGTTACAAACGGAATCCAAGATTTGGCTCAATTGTCTCTTCCTCCTCCATTAAAAAGACCAGTTGATATTGAAAACACAATGGCAATGATGGAAATAGATTCCCCATCAAAAAGAAGAGTAATGACTCCAATATTTTCACAATAGCTAGCTTCTTTTGTTCAATATCTCAACATTCAAATGATAATAACAAAATTTTATTGTTCTGTTATTTATATTTATGTTATATATAACATTTAAAATACAAACAACAATAAAAAAAGAAACTAGAAAAAAATAATAAAAGAATTAAAAAAGAATAGAAAAGCTGAGAATGAACCCTAAGAACTTTAAAAATAGCAATCTTGGTGTGCACTCATGAAGGTTTGTTAATTAATTTCTACCGAATTTTATGATGAAAAAACAAATACTTATATACAGATTAACGTAGCCAACCCAGCAACTGGAAGAATTAAGAAATTTGATTTTGAAGAAGAAAAGAATTACAGACCATTCCTCGATAAGAGAATCGGACAAGAAGTTGATGCTTCATCACTTGGAGACGAATTCAAAGGATACATCCTTAAAATTACAGGTGGATGTGATAAGGATGGATTCCCAATGATGACAGGAGTAGCTACCAACAATCGTGTCAGACTTCTTCTTGATGGAAGAAATGGATGTTACAAACCACTTAGAAATGGAGAAAGAAGAAGAAAAACAGTCAGAGGAGCTATTGTTGCAGGTGATATTTCAGTATTAAACACAGTCGTAGTTAAGAAAGGAGAAGGAGAAATTGAAGGAGTTACTAATGATGCTCTCCCAATGAGAGCTGGACCAAAGAGAGCATCTCACATCAGAAAGCTCTTCAATCTTTCACAAAAGGATGATGTTAAGAAATTCGTTATTAGAAGAGAAGTTGCTAAAAAACATCCAAAAGAAGGAAAATCAACAAAAAGATCTAAAGCACCAAAGATTCAAAGACTTGTTACTCCAAGAAGACTTCAACATAAGGCTCAAAAATTAGAAGCTAAGAAATTACATAAACTTGCTATGCTTAAGGAAGCTAAACGTTATGCTGCTATTCTTAACAGATACAAAGTTCTTAAAGCACACGGAATGAAAGTTGTTTCATTTGCTGATACTGATGCTGTTTTCAAACAAAATAAAGCTGGATCAAAGAAAGCTGCTTCTAAGGGAAAGAAGGTTAATTCCAAGAAAACTGGAAAGAAATAAATTGATCTTTTCTACTGTTGCGATGGTTTTTATTTTTGAGCTCAACAAAATTAATTGTTGTTTTTGTTTTTTAATAACTATAGAAATAAAATCTAATTTTTATTTAGACTTTATGTAAAATAATCAAACACTTTGCTTTAAGAAGGTATTTGTTCACAACAATGCACAATTTAGTCATTTTTGTTAAAGAAGTAAACAAACACTTTGAGACCAAAAAAAACTACAAAAATGTTTTGGTCATCCAACAAAAACTTCAAGAACCATAATCAAAAATAGGTTTTAAACATAAAAAGCAGTGAACCGTTATTATAAATTACTTAGCAGCTTCTTCAGCCTTACGCTTGAGGGCTTCTTCTTGTTTTTGTCTCATAAGAGCAGCATCACGTTCTCTTCTTTGACCCAGTGAAAGGTCTTCAGTATTTCCATGCTTCTTTTTTGCTTCCTCTTTAATTCTTTTTTCACGAGACTTATCTCTTTGATTTCCTCTTGCCATTTCTTGGAGAAATTATTTAATTGTTACTTTTTAATTCTCTTTTTATATTCCAATTTGATGCCTCTGTTTTTAATAATTTTATGTCAGTTTTATTATTATTGATTTGGTTCCACGTAATTCATACTTGGCTTTTATGTTTTTCTTCAATCAATGAAATATTAACTTTCAAATTTATGAATGAAAAATTTATTTAGTCTCTTTTACTCATCTTCATCATCTTCGTCTTCATCATCATCATCATCTTCGTCATCGTCGTCTTCATCATCATCATCTTCGTCATCGTCGTCTTCATCATCTTCTTCGTCGTCTTCGTCATCTTCTTCGTCGTCTTCGTCATCTTCTTCGTCGTCTTCGTCATCTTCTTCGTCTTCTTCTTCGTCATCATCATCATCTAATTCAAAGTCATCATCGTCGTCATAATCAAAATCATCATCTTCGAGGTCATACTCTTCATCATCGTCATCTTCTTCGTCATCTTCTTCGTCATCTTCTTCGTCATCTTCATCATCGTCATCTTCTTCGTCATCTTCTTCGTCATCTTCTTCGTCGTCTTCATCATCGTCATCTTCATATTCATCGTCTTCATCTTCATATTCATCATTATTTTCTTCAATATTTAATTCATCATTGTTTTCAGTTTCTTTGTTGTCTAGAGTTGCATCTTCTTCAACACCAAAGGCTAAAGTTAAAAACATAGCAATAAGAATATAAAAAATAGCTTTCATGAAAATATTAATTTCAGTTCCTTTTTGGTTCTTTAAATAATAGATAACTAAAAATTAAATTTAAGATCTACCACAAACTCAGCAATAATTTCATGATGAATAAATAATATTAGTTTTAATTAATTTAATTCTTTTTTATTACCATTTTATTTCAAGTTTGCTGTTAAAAGTAAATTGACTTATTAATATTGAAATTGGTAAACGAATATTGGCCATAACCTTCATTATATTTAAGACAAACAAACAAGTAAATAACACTTTTTAAATTTGAAAATAGTTTGTCAATAAAATGGAGGAAAGAAAAGAGTTAATGTTCAGGTAATAGAAATAAATCTCAATCTCTTTTTTAAAAAACAAAATTTTACTACTTGATAGAATAAGAAATTTCTATTAAGGAAGCGATATAAGTTAAACCTTATTCTAAAAAGATTCTTATTAACCAAAAACATTTGTTAATTAAAAGGAATATTGGTATTACTTTGTTTTTCTTATTAATTTTGACACTGAAGAGTTGTGATACCGTTTATTTTTCTTGATTGGTCAATTGCTAATAAAATGATTTAGAATTGGTTATTTCATATTTAGAAATTTATCTCTCAGTTATTTTTAGTTATTTTTTGTAATTGTTTAGTGTTTTATAATGCCTTATATGTAGACTATTAAAGAACATTTTTTATATTGGAACTTGTTAAAATTTTACTCATTACGTAAACTCCTTAAAAAAACTCATGAATTGGTTGAGAGATAAATAACAATAATTGAAGTCGTTTTTTCTAAAGCTAACATACTAAATAATTTCCACTATCTTTCTTTATTGAAGACTCTTTTATTTCAAAATTGATTGGTTAAAATTAGTTAGTATTTTCCTTTTTGTATCAATACTTTAAATAAAATCTTTATAAGTTTCATAAAATACCTCAAAATATTTACTTTCTGTTTACTGTGATTTTCTACATTTCTTTAACTGCTAATGAAACTGTTCAGGATAAAAACAAATCCTTGTAGTGTCCCTTCTTAAAAACGAGATTAAATTCTTAATCAATAAAAACTCAAATTTTAAAAGAATAAAGAAGAAAAAAACAGGGTAAAATGAACAGGGTTTAGAGAAATGAATTAAATTTTAAAAGAACTGTTTAATAAATAAAAAATCACAAGAAAAATGTCTACTGAGCAAACTGTTCCAGTAGTTAATACTAATAAAGACAATTCAGTTCCTCAAGTAGACACTACTAAACCCTCATGGAGTGAAATGATTGTTGAAACTAAAGTTGCAGCAACAACACCAAATGTTGTTAAAGAAGAACAAAAACCAACTGGAAGCACTAAGTTTTATAAAGATAAATACAATGAAAGTGATTGGGTATTAATGTTTTATAATCCATCAGTTCCATTAGAACAATGGATGGTTAAGGATCTTCTTGAAACCATTGATGTTCGTGCAAGAGGTATTAGACAAGGAAAAACAGGAAAGTGTTATGCTGATTTTGAAGATGAAGAAACATGGAAAAATGTTAAAGCATTAAGTGGAGAGGTTGTTGGAGAAATTACTATTTTAGTTGATGATGTCCCACCAAGAACTGATGCACCAAAGAATTCCTTTAATAAAGGACAACACCAAGGAATGAATTCATTTGGAGTTCATAAGAAACGTGAGACATTTGCTAAGAAACAACAACATGGACAAAAAAAACATATTGAAAAAGAAGGAGTTGTTAAAACAGAGAAAACTAAAAAGGTAAAGAAAGTGGAACCAGCAATTGTATTAAATGAAACAGATAAAGAAGAAGGTTGGGAGCTTTCAGATGGACCTGTCAAAGCTATTAAACCAAAGAAGAAAGCAAAGAAACAAATTGATGGTATTGCCAGTACAAAGAATTACTTTGAAGGTATTTAAAGAAATTTTGTTTACTATTTATTTTCTTAGATATTTTTATTTTCATTTTTATTAATAACAATTATTATTATATTAACAATATAATATATTCATTAATTATTCTTTTTCATTGGTGATTTTTTAATAAAACTTAACAAAAATAAATAACAAATAATTTTGATCAGTTTATTTTCTTACAATGAAATATGCTAAAACAATAATCATTATAATAAATGTAACTAATACAACACTCTTATCAAAAAATATAGACTCTGACAATAGTACAAAAACTCCTGGCATTGCATATGGAACAACTACTTCATCTTGTTTACAAACATTTGATGAAGTTCTTTGGTTATTTTCATTTGTTCTTATTGGAAATAAGTTGTATGATTGTGCTGGTGGTGCTTGTCTAAAGGTATTAGGTTGATGAGACTCATCTTCTTCAACAAGAACACCGTTAACAATTCTCATTTTCTTTTTTCCTTGTTGCACTGTTGCCATTCTGTTCTTTCTTTTTTCTTTTTTAGTTTTATTTTTCAAAAAAATCTTCATTTGATTAGTTTATAAATCAACTCCTCTTTCAATTAATTTACCCTTTCTAATAATTATCTTTCTTTTTCACTTTTATTCTCAATATCAGGTCTAGTAGTTTCAATCGGTTGTTTTCTTTTTTACTATTAATTAGTGGGTTTTTTTTACAAATACAGTATCCTTTAAATAGTAATGTTTCAATTATATATAATGTTTCAAATCTGTTGTTAGTTGAATGGAAACTAACACCATCTATTTTTTTTTTCATCTGTACTGTTATAAAATGATAACTTTGTTTGAATCTGCTGGTTAGAATTGATAGTTAAATTCCATTCTATGGTATTTTAATGGAATACCCTTTTTCAGTATAAAGTTATTTTTTCTTTGTTATGGTTCATTTTAATGATATTGTTCTTTTCATTTATGACAGGATTGTATAAAAACAAACCTTTCATCTTAATCAACAATAAAGTATCAATGGTTGTATTTGAATTGTTATATTTTAATTTTCTCATGTTTATTCAGTTATTTAGAACATTATATTCAAAATTAACTAAACACAACATAAATAGATGTTAACATATTAATTAATTGATTAATAGTGTAGATTAGATCAAATGATAATTGAACAATTAAACAATCATTGAATACTAAGTTATTTTAATTCATATTTAAGATAATTAGAATACATTAACAACTATAATATTATCATATTTATTGAATTTCCAATATTAAAACATGAAACACAATGATAATTTAAATGTGTTTATAAATAATTTCAATAGAATCAAGAATAAATAGAAAGATGATTAATATAAAAATAGACAAACAATAGAAATGAATGATATTATGAAAAGGAACATAAAACTTCTTATTTAAAATATGAATTAAGTAATAAATAATCTTAAATGAATAAGATAGAAATTTCATTAATAATACTTAAATAGTGCAAACAATTATCATAATATTCAAAAGGAAATACAATGTTTATGATTATTTCAATATTACATCATTGAAATATATCAAATTTAAAAAGATTTTATTGTTATTTCATGTTAATACTTTATCAAATAAATCAATTCAATAATACAAACTATGTATTTATCTATTATTTACACTTTGTTATCAATAAATATCAGTATCAATATTAAGTTTTTAAAGTATACTAAACGAGATTATTATAAGTGTAAAGTAATAAAAATAAATAAGAAGAATGAATAAATTAATAGAGATTAATGTGTAATCATTGTTTGTATTTGTAACATACCACATTACCTATTTTATATCATCACTTCTATCTTTTATAACAAACAAACTAGAAACAACAAAATCAAAGAACTATAAAATGAAAATAACTAAGCACATAATAATAAATGCAAACAAACCCTGATGGTTAATACAACATTGAAATGGTTAATATGATGAATAGTCAACTATCAATGAAGAAAAACCAATCAAACAGGATAAGAATGAAAAAGAAAGGATGAAAAGAGAAACAGAGAAAAGAAATTATCATCAGATTAAAACAAGAAAGATAGACAAACAAAAAGTAAGAAAGAAGAATTATGAACACATCAAAGATTAAATTGAAACACAATATTCAACCACACCAAATTATCAAGAAAACAACAATATTATTAAAGAAGGATATCAAAGAATTAAAAAAGGAGAAATTATCAATGAAAAAGAATATCAAGAAGAAACAAAGAAATGTGGATGGAGTGTTGGGATGATTTAACAATTATTTCAATGATAAAAAAATATGGAATATGTAATAAGAAAGAAATATATCATAATCCAATTATTCAATGTCAAATAGAAGAAATAAATGGAATTAGAAATGAAGAATGTTGTCAAAAAGTTATTTCAGAACGAATTAAATATATTGTAGAATTAATAACAATTAAATGTAAATTATAATTCATTCTATAAATTATCACATCCAAAATATTAATTACTTAATTAATTACATCATTAAATTGTTCAATAAAACATAAATCATCATAAACATTAAAACACTCTTCAGGGAATGTTTTATTTTGTATTTCAGTTCCATTAAAACAACCCTTTTCATAGTCAGTTTTATTAATATCACCCACTTCCATTTGAGCTATTGTACAATTGTAAACAGCATTCTTTTCAATCACTCTCACACTTCTTGGAATAGAAATCTTCTGAATATTCATATCTTTGAAACAATATGAGGCTATTCTTGTTACTCCTTCTTGAATATTGAAAACAACATCTTCTTCATTAATATCATCATGCGTTAACCAACACTCATCACAGATCACACCATCCTCTTTCAGTAATGAACATATCTTATATCTTACATTCCCTTTCATTTTTTTCATTCCCTGTGTATCTATTTTCATTATTTAGAGCATTAAGAAAAGATGTGGTGAGATAGATGAAGATTATTGAATCTTATCTGGTAATGCTGACAATCGTAAACATCCTT